CACTGAGTGATCATATCACATGCAGGGCAAAGAGGAACTTGTTTGATCTTGTTGGCGGTTTAAACATGAGGTACATCCTCCTCAGATGGTAGATTATTTTCCTTCCTGATCACACATGATTTAAAGTTCCCCTATTATACTGTTTTTCATCAATATATTATAGGTCTCAGATATATACAAAACATGTCTCTGAAGTGTTTGGCTCCAAATACCAAACAGATCATTGCAGCATCCCATAAACCCCTCTGTTTCAGCCCTGTTTCAAAAGTGCTGATTCTCTGTCCGTTACTTTAGATGAAAAATAAGGAGCCCCTCAGAGATATTTGGTTAAAAAGAACTCAACAATGGTGCTCTAGGAGGAGATTCAGGTGATAAGGTGGGTTGCCTTGGCTGGCTGGTTACACAAGCCAAAAAATCGTTATGAGTGGCCAAAATCTGATCAGCTCATTTTCAGACATTATATAAATGGATCAGGACAAAAAGAGAGAGAATCTTTTTTCCTGAGACTTTCAGAATCTCTTTACACAGAGGGGACACGTGTTGATGTAGAAGAGACATGAACAAGTGGATTTTGCATAATAGGTCCCCTTTAAGGTCTCGGTTGCATTTGAGTTAAATGCATCACCTCTGATTCATGCCTGGGTTTTATGAGAGCATTGAGCTGCTGGTGGTTCATCCCACCTAGTTTTGTGGCTCTGGGATTAAAGCCTGCAGAGGCCAGGACTCCTGCCAGTCAATCAGTGGGTTTGAGTTTGTTAGTGACTGGCCTGGTTGGACTCATTGAGCTGAGCTGCAGCAAGAGGCCAGCAGGTCATAAGTAACTAGTGGCATTTGGATCAAAAGATGATTAGAATAATCACTTAAACTGAGATCTGCCAAGGGTTGTTTTCTAGGACAGGAAACCTGTCGCCGATCCGATCGAGTGGGCGGGGCCTAAATGGAAGATTTAAACATCACTTTAAATCTTCCATTTAAAGTGATGTTTAAACTCAGTTAATGGGGCTCATTCACCGGAGCTTCCACAAACAACAATCAACTTAATTATTACATTCAAATTAAGTACATTATTCAAGTTTACATTCACGTTGGATAATAACACGGGAGAAATGAGCGGAAGCGCTCTCTTTTTCTCTCTCCCTCTCTCCCCCCTCTCTCCCCCTCCTGACAGCCTGTCAGTATCTCATGCAGCTCACTGATCCGGTAATGAGTGACCCGACAGTGAAGAATAAATATATTTATAATAACTAGTTTAGCTTGTTCCAGAGGTAGATAAAATAGCTAAGTGTGTTAGGTCTAACTCTTGTGTGTTTCGCTCCGCTCACCGGTCCGTCACAGCGGGCGGAGCTGCAGGATTTCTGCTTCACACACACGTTGCATACCGCTATTTTACTGTCTTTTTCGGACACCTTAAAATACTGCCAGACCGGTGAAGCCATTTTGGCGAGCTTGTTTTGCCGCACACAGAGAAAAGTGTCATGTATTTTACGTCATGCGATCGGCTCTCGCGATCGGCATGTTTAGAGAGCACCGATCGATCGGTAGAGAGTAAGTATCGGCCGATCTCGATCGGTGACAGATCGATCGGAGCATCCCTAGTTTTAATCCATTCAGTCTGATGAGCTGAACTCAATTTGATCTAGGTAGGATAAAGACTGATGGGACTGGTGGCTAATGTATTTTCTATGGTTTTTTTCTAGAAAATAAGATGTGCTTATGATCCACTGGCTTTTCAAAGATCTGTTAGTCTTACCTGTACAACAACAGCAAACTGTGTTGTACAATTCTTTTTTCTTCTGTGTATTTAGACCTAAAAAAGGAAAAATATAAACAATCTTAATACCTCGAGACACTGTAAAAGTTCAGGAAAATCAACACAAATCTTACCGTCTCAACTGATTTAATTATATATCAACATCTAAAGCAGTAAAAAGTAGAGAAATACTTTTAGGGCTGCACCTAACATTTATTTTTCATTATTCATTTACTATTTTCCCACTAACCAATTGAAAATGAGCTCTATAAGATGTTAGAAAATGGATTCCTAGAGCCTTCAGGCCAAAACAGCATCCCTCTCCTCTGTCATCATCCTGTTGGACCTGTCTGCTGCATTCGACACGGTGAACCATCAGATCCTCCTTCGCACTCTCCAAAAACTTGGAGTTTCAGGCTCTGCACTTTCCCTCCTCACCTCATACCTCAAAGACCGTACCTACAGGGTAACTTGGAGAGGGTCTGAGTCCGACCCTTGTCAATTAACTACAGGGGTCCCTCAGGGTTCTGTTCTTGGTCCCCTCCTCTTCTCCCTGTACACAAACTCGCTCGGATCAGTCATTCGCCCGCATGGTTTTTCATACCACTGCTACGCTGACGACACCCAATTAATTCTGTCCTTTCCCCGCTCAGAGACCCAGGTCGTCGCACGCATCTCTGCTTGTCTAGCTGACATCTCTCAGTGGATGTCTGCTCATCACCTCAAGCTCAACCTTGACAAGACTGAGCTGCTTTTCCTTCCGGGAAAAGATTGTCCCACTCTTGACCTAACAATCAACATCGGCACCTCAGTTGTTTCCCCGACTCAGACTGCAAGGAATCTGGGAGTGACTCTAGATAACAACCTGTCCTTCACTGCAAACATCGCTGCTACAACCCGTTGCTGCAGATACACGCTTTACAACATCAGGAAGATACGTCCCCAGCTGACACAGAAAGCGACTCAGGTTCTGGTCCAGGCTCTCGTCATCTCACGCCTAGACTACTGCAACTCCCTCCTGGCTGGTCTACCTGCATGTGCCATCCGACCTCTGCAGCTCACCCAGAATGCAGCGGCTCGTCTGGTCTTCAACCTTCCTACATTTTCCCACACCACTCCGCTCCTCCGCTCCCAACACTGGCTTCCGGTAAACTGCTAGAATCCACTTCAAGACACTGGTACTTGCTTACCAGGCTGCGAATGGATCTGGCCCTTCGTACATCCAGGACATGGTTAAACCGTACACCCCAGCGCCTGCACTACGCTCTGCATCAGCCAAACGACTCGCTGCACCCTCGCTGCGAGGGGGATCCAAGTTCCCATCAGCAAAAACACGTGGGTTTGCTATCCTGGCTCCAAGATGGTGGAATGAGCTCCCCATTGACATCAGGACGGCAGATAGCTTGCACACCTTCCGGCGCAAACTGAAAACTCATCTCTTTCGACTCCACTTCGAGCGATAGAACTATTAACAAAGCACTTATATACTAATAAAGGACTGGCTTATCTAAAGCCAGTTGAGTAGCACTTGAAATGTTTGGCTCTATGAAACCTGATGTACTTATATGATTCTGTTTTCTTCAAGGTTGTGTCTTCCTGGTCGAATGTACTTATTGTAAGTCGCTTTGGATAAAAGCGTCAGCTAAATGCAATGTAATGTAATAATGTCTATTTAATGAATGCATCAGCTAATCACTCTGCGTGTCATGGAGAGGTGAAAAAGTCATTCCATTGTTTCTCAAAAAGTTTCTCAATGCCGTTTGTGACGGAATTGAAACTGACAAACGAGAACTCTGAAGTGTAATTAGGGAGCACACTTCAGACACACATTCACTCGGTGTACGTTGTGTGTTGAATTCAGAGCAGCTTATCTGTTACATAATAAAGCCCGGTGCTGCTGGGATGGGAACATCAGGTTTGGCGATGAGGGAAGAGAGTCGTGGTCTCGCTGCAGGTCTGAACTCTGAGCGACCCCTGATTCTTCTCCCACCAGGGGACATCCACACAGACTGTGACAGCTCAGCATTGGACACACTCGCTGCTGGATAATGAGGCCGTCTCACTCATCCTTCCTGTACAGAGAGAAGATGAATTAGTAAGGAGCTGATGCAGAGCAAGGAACAGATTTCTACAACTGATGTATGCAGTTGTAGCATCCTTTGTTTTCAGGGCTGCACCATTTTGAAAATTGCCATTATATTGAGTGATATTGCAATCTGATTCACAAAATTGGAGGGAATGATACATTTTGAAACATTATTCACAGTATAAGTGAAAAATGGATTTAAATTATTTTTTTGAGCTGAGGATTTGATCCAAACAAGGGTTTTATTAAGTTTGTGGAATATCTAGGACTCACTGCAATACTTAATTCAGAACAATATTTTGACATTTTTCTTTTACCAAATAAAGCGCATACTGCGATTGAAAATGTAAACTGATTTTGAAGCCCTACTTACTACGGTTTTATTAAAATCCATACACAAAGAAACATCTGTGCGTAATCCACATTTTTGGAAGTTGTATAATCTTTTATATGTATACGGACATTATGTTTTTTTCTTATGGTTACCATCCACATTATATTTATACCAATAAACCCTTTGCCTTGTTGCCACTGGATGTTTGAAATATCTTTCTGAATAGTTGCGAAGCATCTTCAGAACAAGTCAATTAATAGCTTCTTAAAATCATCCTATTCTCTTTCAGAAATATTATTTAGTTAAGCTTGTTATGACCGGCTCGTAGGCCACAACGGAAAGATGCCAAGACGTACACGAGTTTCCAAAAACCACGGCACATTTATTGCGGTTGTTCAGTATAAAGTACAAGATAGAGGGACGAGGGGAGAGGATCGCCGTGTTACTCCTCCTGCGGCCGGCTTGGAGCATGTGACTCCGGGCAGCTGGGCTTAATAGCACCTCGGCTCCGGCCAGGTGTCCGCGATCGCGCTGATTGGCCTCTTCAGCTCCACCCCACCGTAAGACCTGTAACACACCTGAACACAGGCTCTGGGGCCGTCACAAGCTTTAGTTTCTTTAAATGGGTGTTGTTTGGGTGAAGGTCGGATAAACTCTTTTTCTGAGAATGTGCTTATTATTCTCAGCTAGACTTGAATTACTCAGACAGTCACAAGGACGTCCATTGTCTCTGCTTTTACCTCTACTGTCATCCGCAAAGTTTTTTGTATTTAAGAATATCATATTTATTTCGACACTAATCAAATGTTTTTTCTCTTCCTCTCTCTCAGACGTGCCAGCGCCGGAGCAGCCCGAGCTGTTCCTGAAGAAGCTGCAGCAGTGCTGTACTGTCTTTGACTTCATGGACACGCTGTCGGACCTCAAGATGAAGGAGTACAAGCGCTCCACGCTCAACGAGCTGGTGGACTACGTGACCGTCAGCAGGGGCTACCTGACGGAGCAGGCCTACCCCGATGTCGTCAAAATGGTGAGGAGGGATGCACATTCAAAAACTTGTTGTGGTACAGGCATCAAAACCATTGTCTAATCCAGGGTTTTCCCAACCTTAATAATAATACAAGTTATTTATATAGCACTTTTCCTGGTGCTCAAAGCTTATGACCCGTTTATATTTATTTTGTTTTGGTGCTCCTGTTAATGGATTATAGTCGCAACACCTTCAGCTACATGTTAGCCGCATCTCTTCTAGAGATTTGAGGTTTAGCCATATTTTTTTCCCCCTTGTTTGTTTGGGTTACAGCAAAAGTAGACAATGAAAGTTACAGTTTGTCGTAAAACTGTTGAAATATAAGACAATGACAAATACGCAACTAGAAAGACGCGACCAGAGTCGCATAAGTGATGTCATTAACGTTACACATTACACTCGTGTTACTCACCGAAACCTTGTAAAGCCGGTCCCGCATGCTGGCTCTTACGGAACCGACTAACTCCCCTTTTTCGTATGTACAGTTCTCAACATGACCGGACTTGTAGTGATTTTCACCTCTTTTAATACTTTTCGCCTCATTCTGAAAGAAAGAGGTGAAATGTGCCAACGTGACGGCCATCTTGGTGACGTGTGCGAGACGGGAGATGTAGTTCATTGAGCGTTTCACACAAAAAAATATGTTACTTCACAGTTTTACAACACATTTATTTATTTTTGACTTGCAAAATTATCTTTTAAATTGACAAACATCATCTGTGTAATTCGTGGCACAATTCAAACGGGATCGGAAGGGGAGGGACTTCGCCTCTCTATAGCATTTTCCTTTCGACAGAATCTGTTACGACAGGACTTTTATTCTGAAATATTTGCAGGACAGTGTTGTGAGTATGAATTGGTAGAATACCGCTAATATAAAAGACAACCTTGAAGTAGAAAGCAAGGGTTAGCGATATAGAGTCTTAAGTTGTATAACGTCAATGTTTTCCATTGATAGCTCCTGTTATATTGTTGTTGTATTATATAGCCTTCTGTTTTCTGACTGTCCCAAAGTTTCCTGACGATGGGAGGCTCCTGGTATTATTGCCTTCGACATTAACACGAGATGAACCCTTTATATTCAAACAAATAGTTTTATTTTTCTCACAAACTTTCCCCCACATTCCTAAATCTTAAGAAGATGAATTACAGGCTGGTTTTTCATTCATTTGCGGCTGTATGCTTTTAGATAAAAGCCAGACTCACCCACTCATGCAGAGCCGTAAACTCACCGCACTCGAGTCCTGACCCATTTTCCTCCCTCGCTGTCGTGTGACCCTGATCTGCACTCGCACACTTACATCAGCAGCCCAGAATAAAGCAAGAAGCTACACAGAGCTTCAAAGCAGTGCAAGTGTACCAGTGTTGTTGTTGGCTAAACAGACAGTTTTTCATTTGAAATGTAAATATGTGAACGTTACAATATTCCTGAGTCGAACATGTACATTTGTATAGCCTATTTTAGCATTTTGCATCACTTTGGAGAACAGATTAAAATGTAAAATTTAATTATTTAAACTCGGCAATGCATTAAATGATGAAGATGAAGATTCAACTTATTGTCATTACGTAGTACAGGTTCTATGTAACGAAGTGGTTTCTCTGCATTTCACCCATCTTAGTGTTAGGAGCAGTGGGCTGCCATTATGTACGGCGCCCGGGGAGCAGTGTAGGGGACGGTGCCTTGCTCAGGGACACCTCGGTAGCACTTGGTCTTTCCGGGACTTGAACTGGTGACCTTCCAGTTGCCAAGCCAAGTCCCTATCGACTTCGCCACCAAAAAAAGGTGGAACTAAAAATAAAAGAAAGCCTTTTCATGTTGCTAACTAGATTCAGCTAACGTGTGTACATTGGGTGTTTGGTCTACTTGTACCAAATGAACACAGGCAGTACACACACTTCAGAATAAACATTTGCATGAAAATAAGTCGTGCAAAAATTCTCATTGACTTGTATCTGGTTGCAACAGAGAACACAACTTTATATTAATATTGTTGAATAGGAAGATTTAAACGTTGGTTCTCCATAGAGAACATATACAAGAACTTATATACATGTTTTAAATATGGAGCAGTTATAATTGGCTTGTATGTAAGCTGATAATCATGTCCCTCTGTGTTTTTTTTTTACCAGGTGTCTCACAACATATTCCGGACCCTTCCGCCCAGTGACAGTAATGAGTTTGACCCCGAGGAAGACGAGCCCACACTCGAGGCCTCCTGGCCACACTTACAGGTAAACACAGCATCACAAAAGTGTTTGTGTATTCACTTACGCTGAGTTTGGATCTTGTATATTTAATTTGTACACAAAGCAACGACTTAAAGGTACAGTTATGTGCTATTTCTTCCTTTATTATCCATCCACCCAGCATTTGTGGCTGTGGCCCAGTTTGACAGATACTTCCACAGCTTTTGGTCTGTGTACATGCCTGTTGGTACCAAACTTTGCAACCTTACTGCGATCATTTTTAACACCTTGATGTGCCCATCAAAAAAGCCCATAACGTACAAATGTATGACTAGTTTTTAAACCTAACTGACATCAAAGACTGTGATGCTGCAAAAAGTCACTTAAATAAACTGTATTGTCAAGAAAATGTTCTACCATGTATCCAACCCCTAAAACCACATGTCTGTTTGTTTACTGATTGGAAATGAGGACACAGCGTGGTAATTAGTGAGCTTTAGACATATTTAGGGGTCTATTTTAAACAGACAGATCCAGGCTAGCTGTTTCCTTTTGCTTCCAGTCTGTATGCTAAGCCAGGCACAGATTGTTTGCCCAGGACTCCTTTAGAAATTAGATACACATCTTAAGGAGATCCTTCCTTGTGGTTTTCTTAATTTGCCAAATGTTTCCAAAGTCACAAGTAACTTTTTCCCACTTTATCAGCATTTCTTTCTCCACATACAAACATCCTTTTACCTAGCTATAGCCACCTTAGATTCCAACCTTTTGTAACCTTTTTTTGACCTTTCCCTTTAACCCAGTCCAGACCCAGGGTTTACAGGTTTAGTTTGAAGGATTTCCAAAAGGAACATGTCCGACATTAATTGTATTTTCTTCATGGTCTTTTTGTTGTACAGCGGGAAGTGTGACTGTAGTTTGTTTCCGGTGTTATTCAGAGTCGATTGAAGCGAACTTCAAACTCACAATTGACAAATCGGACAAATCTTCCGACACAGCAGCTGATGGAAGAAGTTGCCCATTGACATTTTAGCACTTTTTCTTTTGTTTTCACATCAACCACATTCCTTTCTTCTTCTCCTCCTCTTTAGTTGGTATACGAGTTCTTCATCCGGTTCTTGGAGAGTCAGGAATTCCAGCCCAGCATTGCCAAAAAGTACATAGACCAGAAGTTTGTCCTACAGGTGAGTCCGTCTGTTCAAAATGTCTTCAGTTAATCCGTCTCACTCGTTTCTTCCTCCATGTTTTTTTTCCTCTCTGTCTCTTTTGCTTCGACGTTTTTTTTCTATTCTCTTCCTCTGGGATTATGATTTCTTTATCTGTCTGCGTTCCTTCTCTCCGCGCAGCTCTTGGAGTTGTTTGACAGCGAGGATCCTCGGGAGAGAGACTACCTGAAGACAGTCTTGCATAGAATCTACGGCAAATTCCTGGGTCTGAGGGCTTTTATACGAAAACAGATCAATAATATTTTTCTACGGTGAGTAATTAGTCCGTCGAAAATGTCTTAAACCTTTTTTATCCATTAAATGTTGTTTCCACTCTAATAATCACAGGGTTCTTAGCATCGTGTATCCACTTTTATTTGCCTGTTCCCTTGTAAGTTTCGTATATAAAGTGTATATCTAGTTAAAAAATATGTCAAGCTTCTTCAGACAAGGGATTAAAATGTACTTTCTGGAATTATAGGAATCGTTGCTAAAAAAGGAATAGACAAGACTCAGCTTAATGACAGAAATGTCGCTCAGATTTTATTATATTTTTTTCACATTTGTTAGATGACTAAGCAGCAGAATTGTTTCGGACACAATATTTAAGGTTAGAAAAGGCGAGGACATATTCTATCACTAGCTGGTGCAAAAAGTATTCACAGTGTACTCGGCAATATTGTCAGCTTTATGAATATTAGAAAACATGAATTTGACAAATGTTGTGTGTTTTCAAGTTATTTCTGTGTCCAGCATCGACAGTTAAACAGAAGTCATGTCAAATCATTCTGGTGTTTGTTTTTCTGCCAGCCATTTATAATCTCCATTCAATGTGGTCATTTACAAGTCATCTGGGTTTAGTAGTTGATCTCCTCTCACTTGTCTCCCCTCTCCTGTGCCTCCCCCCTCTCTGGCTGCAGTTTTGTTTATGAGACGGAGCACTTCAACGGGGTGGCTGAGTTGCTGGAGATCCTGGGGAGGTATGTGGAGGCCTCCGACCCTCAAACACACACTTACACACACACCTCTGTTGGCTGATGCTTTGAGACAGAACACACACACCTCAGAGCGCCAGCAGAACTGAGCTCTACTCCGATAACCACCTGTTTTCTTTAGTTGTAATGATATAAGAATGTCTCATTTAAGCATACTCGCTTACTGATCTTCTTCAAGAGACTCCCCAGATAACAAAATACAGATAAGAAATGAAGAGAACTCAAAAGCTGATCCTCTTTTTATGGAGCCAAATGATAGTGTAGATGTGAAGTTCAGGGAAGAGTCAGGAGCAGAGTTTGACTTGTAGATAAGAAATGAATTAATCCTCTCGACTCAACAGTCTTTTTAATCCATACAAAATAAAGACCGGACACACACACACACACACACACACACACACACACACACACAGTTCATCAGATTTATATCAGGATTAGTTGATAAAAACGAATTAAATATTCTTAAATATCGCTAATTTGCTCACAGCTACGTCTGTGTTGTTGAGAACAGGTTAAAACAATTGGTCAACTAGTTTATTTACATATAAAAAAACTACCAATTGCTAATGCCTTTAGCAGTTCTGCTGCTATAAGCTTTACTCCATTTATTTTCTAGCACAAAAGAGGGAAATATTTTATAATTCCATCGAAGAAGGTGCTGTGATTAGCTGATACATTGATTATCAATTGACTGAAAACATGAATAAAGACCTTGAAAACAACATATTTGATCCATACATTTCGAAAGAGTTTTTTTTCTGTGAGCCTGGAGGTTAGAGGAGCCTCATCTCTTTCTTTCTCCTCCAGGCTCCACTGCCTGTATAAACAGTCTCCTTTATTCCTGCTGCTCATTGATCTCCCACTTGCTTTCAAAGCGTCACAATGAGACTCTTTCATGTGTTCATGTTTAATTTATGTTTATTTTTTCTCTCCTCTCCCTCAGTATAATCAATGGTTTCGCTCTGCCACTGAAAGCGGAGCATAAACAGTTTCTGGTCAAAGTGTTGATCCCCCTCCACACCGTCAGGAGTCTGTCCCTTTTCCACGCACAGGTAACACATCTCCACCAATAGGCCACAAAGCAACCGACTGATTTTTCAAAAATAACTTCTTAAAGGTATGTCATTTATTTCAGAAACACTTTTTGTTATATTCCATGGAATGCTCTTAACATCCCGATAGCAATGAATATCTGAAGTGCTTTGACAATAAATACATTAAAAAAATGTCATCTGTGGAAGCCGTAGTACTGTAAAAAGCACGACCAATCGTCTGAGCCGGCCCAGCTAAAATAACTGGATGGCCTACCTGCCTGTCAGCCTTCCATCTGTGCACAAACTTATCTCGTGCCCTCATTGGTCATGTGCACGTTCGTGTGTGTTGGAGGAGGGGCTCTGTAAGGAAGTGGCAGATTTGTTCCGGCTGTGTATTTTCAAATTCTAGCGCACTCGAGCTGGTTTCTCCAAAATTACCTACCCCACCTTTAATGCATAGACTTGAATTAGTTTCACCTTTTTTGATACCTGGTAACTGGAATTACAAAATTGTTAACACAGAGTTGCTAGAGACAATTTACCGTAGTGTCAAACCTACACATGCTGTTTATGTCATGCAGGTGTGTGTGATACCGTGACATGACATAGTTTTAAATATATATATATATACTTGTGCTTTTAAAAATAAACTTAGACACAAGACCTTTTTCATGCAAACTGTAATTACTTTTTATAGAGTGAGTCAATGTATTAAAGGTGGGGTAGGTAAGTTTCAGAAACCGGCTCGAGTGCACTAAAATTTGAAAGTACACAGCCGAAAAGAATCCGCCCCTTCCTTCAGACTTCCTTACAGAGCACCTCCTCCAACACACATGGACGCGCAATGCACGCCCAATGACGGCACGCCCAATGAGGGCACGAGATACATTTGTGCGTGCACGAGATGGAAGGCTGACAGACAGGGCGGCAAAAGTACAACCAATGCGTTTAGCCGGGCTGGCTAAACGGATTGGTTGTACTTTTTACAGTATTACGGCTTCCACAGATGACATTTTTTTATGGGTTTTTTGTCAAAGCACTTAAGATATTCATTGCTATCGGGATGTTAAGAGCATTCCATGGAATATAACAAAAAGTGTATCACGAGCCGGTTTCTGAAACTTACCTACCCCACCTTTAAGTCTTTTAAATTAATCAACTTTCCTAATTGAACATAACTTTTGCCTCCAAGCAGAATATTTTTTGACATGCTAAAAAATTAAACCATTTCTATCTGTTCAAAATAGTTTGGCTTTTGGAATAATTAGGGCCCGAGCACGGAGCGCTAGGACCCAACGGCGTCCTAGCACGAAGTGCGAGGCACCTATTGTTATTGGTGGAATTATTCTTATTCTTATTAGTCGCCATCATTCCTGCTTTTGAGGGCTTTAGGACGCTTAAAAAGTTGTATAATTTTGCACGGACACCCGAACCGGTAAAAATTACAACATTCTGGAGTCAATGGGTTAAGTATTCCAACCTGCTCACTAGCGCCACCTATCAAAATCCCATTTCGGAATACATTTACAAAGTCGCACCGTAACTCCGAATGACCTGACATTTTGCACACATATCTGGGAGGACCTGCTCTACAAATAATCCTCTTGGAACCCTAAGCTCCGCCTACATTTTTTTATTTTAATTGGCATAATTTACATAAACAGTGAAATATTCACTTAAATTTCAATTTTCAGTTTTTCAACACCAAACTTCGTATACAGTATCGGTGGAGGGTCAGACACATTACCCTAGGAGATGAGCATGTCCAAACGATAAATATTTCCGCCATAAAACGTACTCGCAAAAAGGCAGGGCTTAGAAAGAAATGCTCATAACTCATCAACAATGTATCCAAACATCACAGATTTTGGTAAATGGTTCAGTCTGTCTTGGGAAATAGGCACACCAAAGCATTTGGTGGACTATAGGGGGTGCCAAAAACACCACCAATTTATAACTCAAGGGCAGATGGACTAATCTTTTTATTTTATTTTACACATACTCTCGGGGTGACTACGAACTCAGATTTAAAGTGCAGAATGTGGGCGTGGCCTATACATTTTTTTTTAATTGCGATAGCATAAAATGAGCTTCGGACGCAAAACTTGGGACACACTTCAGAGCCCAGGACTTTTTCCAGAATGTAAAAAAAAAAACGTAAGTTTTCTCAAAAACTGCTCACTAGCGCCCCCTATTATGTGGTAGTCACATAGTTTCTCAGAACTTCACGAATTTTGGCACAGACATTCCTCATGGAATTGCGGACATATTTGTACATACATTCCATTAGCCCCGCCCCCCAAAAAGTCGGCCATTTTGAAATATGTCCGTTTTTTATGCATTTTAAGCACGTTCTTGCGAACTCCTCCTAGGGGAATGATCAGAAAAATGTCAATGCAGGACAGGTTTAGCCCCTATCCAATATGATACTTAATTGAGGAGCACTTTTTTGAAAAATTACTCGTGGAGGTCGTAAGCTAACAGCGAATACACCATTTTTGACGATTTACATGGCGCAAATTGCTCCAAACTGCTCGCATATAGTTTTTCCGATATTCACGAAACGCTGTATACACATTACTATTATGATTGCACACATATTTCAAATTGCCTTCCATTAGCCCCGCCCCCCAGGAAGTCGGCCATTTTCAAAAATGTGCGTTTTTCATGCATTTTAAGCACATTTCTACGGACTCCTCCTAGGGGAATGATCGGAACAATTCCAATCCAGGACAGGTTCAGCCCATTTCCAATGTGATGCTAAATTGCGAAGGAATAGTCGATCGCTTAAACGAGGACTTCGTAAGCCAACGGAGAACTTTCCATTTTTGACGATTTACATGTCACAAATTACTCCAAACTACTCGGATATAGTTATTCCGATATTCACGAAACGTTGTATACATATTGCTATTATGATTGCACACATATTTCAACTTGCCTTCCATTAGCCTCGCCCCCCAGAAAGTCAGCCATTTTGAAAAAATTGCCTTTTTCATGCAATTTAAGCACATTCTTGCAAACTCCTCCTAGGCGAATGATCGGAAAAATTCCAATCCAGGACACATTCAGCCCCTATCCAATATGATGCTAAATTGAGAAGAACATTTTTGATAGCTCAATCGTGGAGGTTGTAAGCTAACAGCGAATACACCATTTTTGACGATTTACATGTCCCAAATGACTCCAAACTACTCGCGTATACTTTTTCCAATATTCACGAAACGCTGTATACATAATGCTATTATGATTGCACACATATTTCAAATTGCCTTCCATTAGCCCCGCCCCCCAAGAAGCCGGCCATTTTGAAAGATGTGCGTTTTTCAGCCATTTTAAGCACATTCTTGCGAACTCCTCCTAGGGGAATGATCGGAAAAATTCAAATCCAGGACATGTTCAGCCCCTATCCAATATGATGCTAAATTGAGAAGAACATTTTTGATAGTTCAATTGTGGAGGTCGTAAGCGAACAGCGAATACACCATTTTTGACGATTTACATGTCTCAAATTACTCCAAACTACTCGGATATAGTTATTCCGATATTCACGAAACGCTGTATTCATATTGCTATTATGATTGCACACATATTTCAAATTGCCTTCCATTAGCCCCGCCCCCCAGAAAGTCAGCCATTTTGAAAAATGTGCGTTTTTCATGCATTTTAAGGACATTTCTGCAAACTCCTCATAGGGGAATGATCGGAAAAATTCCAACAACTTCAGCGCATATCCAATGTCATGCTACATTGAGAAGGAATAGTCCTTCGCTCAAACGGGGAGCTCATAGGCTAACGGAGAATGTACCATTTTTGACCAATTATATGTCAGATAAGCTACTGAGACCTGCCTGTCTGCCTGGCACATCAACTCTCACACACACACACACACACACACACACACACACACACACACACACACACACACACACACACACACACCTACTGTTAGTCCAAAAACACCCTTTGCTGGCGGCATATTCATTACAACAGACACCTATACACTCCCTAACCCTACTGTTTATTTGTAGATATCTCCTAAAGCCTACAAATAAAGTGTGAAATGTAGGCCTGTTACATTTATTATTGAGCAATATATATTATACACACTGTTCTGCTTTCTGCACTGACCTCAGCAGCTGTTCTCACTGTAACATCACCTAACATCCAGGGGACATGTGATTAGTGAGTAAACAAACGGTAAAGGGCAGAAAGTCTGATGCACATTTGATCATCTCAAATAACTTATGATCACAACGGGAACAGTTTGCAGAGCTGTGCTTCGTTGACAGAAGTCCAGCCATGCGTCACACCTCTTCTAAACATCACTGTTGGCTGAAATCGTCTCAGGAGAATACTTCAGTGTACCCTCGGTTATAGCTCCTCTAGAGACACTCCTCTCTCCTCTAAATCAGTGTATCCTCGGTTACGGCTCCTCCAGACAGCCTCCTCGATAATCGATCCTCGACGACCCTTTAGAGAAATTTGTTTTTCTTCGAGACGGCGCGCCGACATCCGTTTCCGGGTCGCTGCCGGAGGACCTCGGAGTCTGGGACGCGAAAATTATAGAAATGAGAAACGGCTCATTTCCCAAGACTCGCGCGCGTCTGCTTGACGCCGGGACGACCGGCTGCCCTCCCCGACAGGCACACGGACGCGAGGGCCCGCTCATCACTGCGGGCACAAGTGCGACCGCAGTTTTAATTAAAACTGTTTTCATGCGTCTTTGTATTTGAGCTTGTGCAGGAGTTTGCATTATGTGTTGTGCTTTGTACGAGTTTGCGTTACTCAGTGACTAGTACTGTTGTATGCTAAGCTAAAGGCTAAAGTGTGTCCTCACATGTTGTCTCCTCTCTCCTTGTAGTTGGCGTATTGCATTGTACAGTTCCTAGAGAAAGACCCAACATTAACAGAACCAGTAAGTATCCACCAACAGATAATGACAGCTGTTATTTAACTGTTTTAATAGTCTCTATTATTTATTTTGTGTCTTTGTCAGTTAAAGGTGAACACAATCAATTACTCAATAACTGCCATGGTAGATTTTAACATTACAGCTGGTAATTGAGGTTGATCAGAAATGGGGGAGACAGCGCCTCATTGAGGGGGAAAGGAGAAGTTCAATTAAAGTAAAACAATTATTGTAGAAATAAAAGCTTTTCTAAACTCAGCCTCTTCATCATCCTCAGGTCATCAGAGGCTTACTGAAGTTCTGGCCAAAAACCTGCAGTCAAAAAGAGGTGAGGCCTCTTTAACTTCGTTTCACTTTGAGTGGTGTGTTTTTTCTCTGCGTGTGTGGTAACGTTTCTTTCGTCCGTTGCTGTGTGCAGGTGATGTTTCTAGGAGAGCTGGAGGAGATCCTGGACGTCATCGAGCCCACACAGTTTGTGAAGATCCAGGAGCCGCTCTTCAAACAGATCTCCAGATGTGTGTCCAGCCCACACTTCCAGGTCAGTCAGCATCCTCCGCTGATCAACTGTTAGGATGGAAATGACTATGTGCTTTACTTTCAATGTAGTGTAGAAACAGGCATGTACATAATCTGTTTAGGGATTTGTAAGAGTAGTTAGGAGTGTTTTAATACCGTTTTAAAGTGTCCTTAAAACCTATTTATATAAAGGCATCGCCCTAACTTTTTTTTTTACTGATTATTTTATATATTTTTTTGTATCTATTTGTAAAAAAGAATCCCAATTTTTTTTTTTGTATTTTAAAATACTTTTTTAAGTTTATACATTTCATTATATTATTTTCTGTATCATAACTTAGGGCAGCACCTATACCTTTTAAGGCTTTCGTCTATAACAAACATGTTTGGGAAATGAATGGGAGGACACAAGTAAAAATATTCAGGATTCTCCAGACACTGAGCCAGGTTTGTGTTTTGGTGGCAGGTTGCGGAGCGAGCTCTGTACTACTGGAACAACGAGTACATCATGAGTCTGATCGAAGAGAACTCCAGCGTCATCCTGCCCATCATGTTCGCCAGCCTCTACAGGATCTCCAAAGAGCACTGGAACCCGTGAGTAACGCTTGAAAGGAATCACCCTTTATGTACAAAAATAAGACTGGATTTGATCTTTTTTAAGAAATTAGCCAAATTCTTTAGGTTTAAGATAATTTGAATTGAGCTTTGATTCAATGTTCCCACATCAAGTCATGTGGTGTCTGTGCATTTTTGCTGAGCAGCAGCTCTCCTTTGTTTTTACTGTTTTTCTCATGACCTGAAATTCACACTGAGCAGTTTTTTTTACCACATGACGGCTCGGTTTACTGTAAACGGCAGACAACACAACTTCTGAGTGCATGACCGACTATTTAAAAAAAAATCTTGAATATTAAACGTATTTAAAAAAACATTTGTTAAAACCTGTCTTTTAAAATGCATTTAATGACAACTCTGTATGAAGTCAATATCCTACTATTGATCCAAAACAGCCATTTGAAAGCATACTCGGAGGAAGTCACTCCATAAATAACATGTACTTTACTGCTGGTAGGTTTCTCATGTATTTGAATGGGATCATTTATAATTCTATAAGTTAAAACACTGTTGTTATAAATTGATGAATTGTATTATGCTAATATGTTAAAGACATGTCAATATGTCCAACTTTTCACGTTTTTTTAAGTTGTTGGAAAATCTAAATAATTAACTATAAAATCATATATTCACATTTCAATATAGTAAGAAATGAAACCCACGAATGGATTTGTCTCGTGGACTCTTGATCAAAGTTTTCTAGCCGCTGTAAATCCAGATGTCAGTTGTGAACTCTGCTCCTCTCCTCCTGCAGGGCCATCGTGGCGCTGGTGTACAACGTACTGAAGGCCTTCATGGAGATGAACAGTACCTTATTCGATGAACTCACAGCCACTTACAAGTCGGACCGCCAGCGGTGAGGAGCTCACACTCACATCATCATCATCTCATTTATTAATGTTGTGAAAGTTAATGACACTTGCAGGGAGCTGCTTAACACAACCACAGTGTTACCATCATCATCACACCCTACATATATCAGGACTAATACAAGCTGTGCTTATTAAACAGCAGCCCTAATGAGTGAGTTAGTAACAGCGCTAGAAGTAGGAAAACTAAGAATATAATATCTTACAGGCTTTTTAGTAGATGTAATGAAAAGTATGTCCTGACTACGTAATAATAAAGCTTCAGCGCTCAATCTAAAAGCCAGACAGCGAGGGACGAAGACCTGAGTAAGGCAAAAAAGTTCAACGCTCACCTCATCAGTGTCCTACCGTTTGATATGCTCCATGCTGACTCTCAGAAAAAAAACTTTAAACTGTAATATTATCCACGAAGTTACATTTTTTCCTAAAGATAATGTACCTAAATGGTCACAAATCCCTACATATTTAAATCTCTGAAGAAACCAATGATGTTGGCAGAGATTCAGCAGTTTAAAAACAGGCTCTAGTGTCTCAAACACAAAATAAAACTCCATGTGTTGTTGTTGCAGTGAGAAGAAGAAGGAGAAGGAGCGGGAGGATCTGTGGAAGAAGCTGGAGGACTTGGAGCTGAAGAGGGGCCTTAGGAGCGATGGGATCATCCCAACTTAACGAAGATAGCGCTGCGCTCCCCCCCCTCCCCTCCATCCTTACCCCGACTCCCACCCCCCCAAACCTCTCCACATCAGCCATGTCTGCCCAGAGCTCCGAGAAATCCCCGATACAGGTCTCTGGATCGTCACGGAGAGCCCTCTGGTTTCTTAATTGTTTTTTTGGTATGTTTTTTTTTTCTCCTGTGTTTGTGCGACTTACTTTACAGTAGATTCATCACGTCTGTTTTCATTATTTCAACAGCACTGTAAATACTTTTTTTCCCCTTAAACTGATATTATTGCAAACAGAAAAACAAAACAATAATAATAAAAAAGGAAGAAAAAAATAGTAAATGAGAAAATGACTTGTGTGGGCGGGTGGATTAAACAACATCAAACGTGTGGACTGTAGGACGCGAGAAGAACTCTTGGAAAACATAAAACGACAAAAAAAGAAGATTTTAACTCTTCTTCCCGCCCTGCTTCCATACAGTCCCGTGTTTCATTCTTATTTTCATGGTTCTCCTCTTTGCTTTTCCTCTCGTAGCCTCCGACTTTCTGTTACCTACCCTCCTCCTCCTCTCTAATGGGGCATCTGTCATTTCTGCCCCTGTGTGGGACGTCCGGACTGATAATGGGTTCCCCCTCCTCATTAAGGTTCCTCTCTGGCCCCGCCCTCCTGTCTTCAGGTTCTCCTTCCTGTTTTGAACGGTGAAAAACAACTGAATAAATCACATTTTAAAAAAACAGTAACCGGGACCTTCAGTACACACAGATCTTTGGGTGCGTTTACATGCGTGTTCATGGAAGAGTTCCTTGTTTGGGTATTTCATCTTAATATTGTTTTTTCCATTCTGTAATATAGTATCTACCTTTTTCAGTAGATATTTAATTACTTCAAGAAAAAATGCCGAAAAAGTGGATATTTTCGGAAGTTGGTTTTAAAAAACATTGCCTTATTTACATTTGACTGCTACAGGTACACAAATCATGCAATTTGGACCACAACATCACCTTTGGTTTTCTTGCATTTCCTGTGGCTCCTTCACAATAAAATCACTGCAATCAATCACTTTAATGTGAACTAGCAGCAAGATAAGTTCTGATGCAAGGCGATCAAAAGATGGGGGAAGGCAAGCTATGTTTATTAATATAGCACTGGTATACAAAAAGTGACTGCACTGTAACCAAACTGTATTTGAAAGCTATCAATAAGACAAAAAGGTAGGAGTTGAGGTTTGTGCACTCTTGCCTGCCACTCACAAAGAAAACTCTTTTATTGAATGCAAACAAATAATTTCTGCATCCATGTTTGTTTGAATCACAATTGCGACATTTCCTACACCACCATGTGCAGGATTTCAGGTCTTTTTTTGCTTTTAGTTTGGTGGACGTATCACCTGGTGAACGGCAAACAAAGTCAACAGGAGAGAAGAATGTACATAACGATATGAACTTGAACCAATGAATTCAATAACATTTTTAAGCGAATTTAAGGAACAAAACAAGTGTATTTAATGCAAAGATAATCATTTAAATGTCCCGACTCCATGCCTCTGCGTCACATGACCTTGGATACTTTTCATTTTTAAAGCGGTGTATCCTGTTTTGATGAAATTAGCTCACACCCTGGTTGTTTCAAATCCTGTTTACCACCATTTATATTAGCTTTTTTCATACAGCGTTGTAATCCAGCTTCATATAAATAAGACTATAAAGCGTGTGAACCTGCATGTAAACGCACTACCTCCTACATCCTCCTCCAAAAACAGACTCCTTCTCATCCAGTTGATTTTATATCTCCATCTTATTATTCATTTTTTTCAAATGTACTGTTTCGACCCCTCCCTCCCTCCTTATATCCCTGGTATCAGTCTGGCACTGGTACCCTGCGGCCATAACGGGGACTAATACAAAAACAAAATAAGTCTTCAGAGGAGCGCCAAAAATCTTGCTCCTGTTGTGAAAAGCAGAGCGCCCCTGCCTCCCCTCACTACCCCCCCCCCCCCCCCCCCCCCCCCCCCCCCCAAATCTTCTGCCCACCTGGGGGGCACTGCGTTGACTTCACAGTATTACAACAACAACAAAAGACGACCTTGTACATTGTTATTGAATGCAGTACACTGATAATCTTGTATCTTGTAGTAATTTAGGGAGTATCCAGTATATAAAGAGGTATTTATGATGGTGTCTCACCCCCCCCCACCCCCTTTTATTAGTCTGTTTTTATTTATGTCTCTCACTCCCCCCTCTTCTCTTGGTTTTTATCTCATTTTTTGATGAAGTTTCTTTTGACAATTTGGATTTTATTTATTTTTTGTTGGGGTGGGAGGTTGAGGGTGGGCACAGTAGGCAGGGGCTCAGGGGTCCGAGGGGGGAGGTATGGGGGAGTAGAGAGGGAAGGCACGGAGCAGACTACTTTGTCCTGTTGCAGGGGTCTTAGCTCCTGCCCTCGCAGAATTAATGTGTGCTTTAGAACGGCCCGGAATCTAAAAACTGAAGAAAGAAAAAAAAGATTAAAAAGGGTTGGAGAAATACAAATGTTTAATTATTTTAAAAAATAAAGAGATATTAAATTAAACCTGTTTTGTGATAAAGCCCAGATGCTGGATTGCGTTCTTTAGTGTGTGTGTATGTGTGTGTTAAAAAGTATACAAACATATACTTTTTCAGGTTTTTCATTTGGATTTGAAATGTCAACTAACTGACAACTACTTGAAACAATTTTATTTTTCCCACCTGGATCATTGTATTCAGAGTAAATCACTAGACATGAATTTAATGATGTTGTATAAAATCAGCTCCTAATTTCAAACAGAGCATTAAACGTGTTCACTCGTTTGTTATTTAGTCAAATATAATAGTGATATTTGCAGAATGAAAGGTCAGCCCAACTGGCTGCACATTGGAAAGCCTCGAGATCAGATCTCAAATGAATTTATTCAAAGAGCTTTTTAATTTATTCATCTCGTGCAAACCTTTTTTATTATGCAAATGTTGATTTTGAAAGTCACAGCAAATGTAATTTTAGGATTAAGTTGGAATAAACAACTCAAATGTTCAGTATTTGCACCCATGCAAGTGGTAATATGTATTCATACAAGTACATTTGTTAATATTTTAGAAATGCATATTTAAAGAAAAGCCCCCTCTTATGTTCCCCGTTACGTTTGTCCTTCATCCTCTTCCTGTGAGCTGTGATCCGCAGGTGTGGCCCACTTCAGTTCTGGCCAATGAGAGCAGGAGGAGGCGGGACTTATATACATGACAACAGGTGTACTGATGAGCCCTGCGAGAGCACTGTGTTTTAAATCAAATGTTTTTGAAGTTATTCGTTTTTGGAACATAAAGATTGGTTTAGGAGGAATGGATGAGTGTTTCAGGAAGTTTCTGTGGATGTTTTCCCTTCTGTTTGCTGTCAAATCTGGATTCTAAACCCGACTACAGCTGATTGAAGTCTGCAAGAGGTCAGTGTTTCATTCATTTCACACACTTTCTGGTGTCACATAAATGCATCAAAACTGCAGGAGGACGAAGTATTTTTTTTTCATCATGTGAGCTGGGGCCTATACTACGAAGCTGGTTCAACCTAACCTGGATATGTTTGAGTTAGCCGGTTGGCCTAATCCAAAACATACGCGCTCTCGCTAAACTGTACTACGACGCGGGTTATCAAGTGTATCGTTCAAGCCAGCCGTTTCCTATCTAGTTAGGTGCGCGTTCACATGAAAGGGGTGGTATTTGGAGCATTCGACCAATCACAAACATGGAGAAGCGTACTGACAGCGCAGCGTCATACTTCCTGAATGAAAAGTGAACTTTAATACTAGTCAAAAATGAAGAAGTTAAACTTTAAACATCCATGACTTAAACACTTGATCCAGGATCAAAGCCACAGATCAAGGTGAATACAGCTGGCAAAAGAAAAAGTGTTTGAATGCGTACATTAACAGGTTTATGATATCACTGCCCGTCTAAGACATCATCTGACTTTCATTACATTTGTCTCGAGTGTTTCGTCAACTTAATGTGTTGCTTAAAATAATACTTCTGCATGTGACACTGTGAGTGTTGCACGGCCAGATACGGCTCAGCTGACTCAGATAAGAAAATATATGATACATTATGAAGTGATATGCCGCGGACTGTACTTAATGTTACTCTGATCCGGTTACTTATGTTGTGGCAGATATTTAAGTAAGCTTTCTTAACGCTAATGTTATAATAGTCAGATTGCTCTGAAAATGGAGGTGATATTCTATTCATGTTCACGTTCACACAGTCGGTGATTTTTGCCGGCCGTCTTTCTTGCGACGGCAGCTTTTCTGTATTTCCTTTCTCCTGTACTTGATCGCTTTAAACTCCGCACACTGAGCTCTGATTGGTCAGCAGGCAGTGCTTTCACTGAGTTGAGCTCTTAGCCTGCAACCCAGGGTCGGCTCTAGAACAAATCGAATGGGGGGGCAATCATTTACAAAGGGGGGGTACACACTGCCGTCAACAACCAACACACAAACACCAACGCAACTTCAAAAAACATGCTGTAAACTAAAGTATATTGTTTTTCACACATATTGCAGGGGTGTAGTGCTATTGTATAGCGCACCTATGACTTGTGCATACATACACGGTTGTGGCACGACCACCAAAACAGAAACATATGGACATAGGCCACCATACAAAAAGTGTGCAAATGTATTTAGTATCCTATCCATGTGAACATGTTTTAGGTGGGGGTGGACCTAACGTCCTCTAGGAGGGTCTGGGGGCATGCTCCCCCGGGAAGATTATTTTAAAAATATTGAAGTTAAAAGCATCAATCTGGTGCACTTTGAGAGCAAAATGAAGAGATCTATGGATAGTCTACATCTCTCAGCATCCATATGAAACAGAACTGTACACAGATTTACTTTTTCTTTATGGATATTTTACTAATCACTCCCCTTTTAAACTGTATTATTGTGTTACTGTCCTATAGTATGTCATACCCGTTTTTTATTTATTCTCTTATTCTTTAATAACTATAATGATCGTATAAAGGTGTTCCTCGCAAATACTTGTTTACATAAATGGTGACCAAACCGTTTGAGACCCACTGAGATAACCTACACTAAAGTTAACTATCTAAATACTGAGAGAGTCCTTACCTCACTGAGCTGAGGTTATACGATCCTCTCAGTCTGACAGGAGAGGACTCTCCTCCACCTTGGTGTAGAAACAGCTCTTTATATCCGTTAGCATAGCTAGCTAACCAGATCATGCTAACATCAACATTCCACGTTACCACTTGCGCACTCACAAAATGCGCTCGTGCCACACACACACACACACACACACACAGAGCCGAGCTTGAATGAAACACAGAGACCCAGAAGTAGGCTACTTGTACTGTACTGTATATCATATTATTTTCGATGGCTTTACTGTATAATCAGTGTAACAGATGAACAGATCGCCACCGGGCTTTCATCTAAACACACAGCCACCTAATGATAACAAAACAAAGGTCGAGGGTCATTGGTCAAGCAACACACCAATCAGAGAGCAGCAGTGAGCACAGCTCAGGCTGTGTTTTAAATGTTGTATTATTTATTTCTGACGTATTTCACACAAAAAACCTTTAGTGGAAACGTTTTCACTTTTTTTTTTTTTTTAAACGGCAAAGTGGCAAGGCTTGCCCACCCTGCGTTGGGGGGGCACAGTGACTCATTTGGGGGGGCAGGGCCCGCGAATGACCCCCCATGACGCCGACCCTGCTGCAACCTAACCTGCTCCGGGGCAGGTTAGCCGCACAGCATAAGTTACCATGGAGATCTAGCCTGCTAAAAAGAGAACCAGCTTCGTAGGATCGGAAAGCCGGAGTTTTCCCTGAATTTAGCCGGCTAAGCGAAAATCGTGCTTCGTAGTATACCCCCCTGGTGAGAGGCTTTTATTCCCAGTGAAGTATTGGAAACAATGTTATTTGTTTCGAGGGAGTTGTTCTTAATGTAACCCCTTCAATAAGTATTCAACTCATCACATTCTTAATGATACTGCAGTTAAACCAGTGGTTCTCAAACTTTTTCTGTCATTCCCCACTTTGAACAGGTGGGCCTTTTCAAGCCCCACCTGTTCCTCATCGCTCCAATAAAATGGTAGGCCAAGCTTAAAATTGTCAAATGTATCGTTCTATAACAACCTTTAGTAGGAGGAGAGCTACAGTACTTTCAAAAAATAAAACAAGTCGTGAGCTACTTTTACTCCTCTTTTTTGTTTTTTTGCAGTGTATATATTTAGCACATTTTAACATTATTATATGCTTACCTTTAACCTTTGAGTGCTGTTTGGGTCTGTGGGACCCGTTTTCAGTGTTTACTAAAATAAAATGTATGCAATTTAATTATTTTAACCTGCTTTATTTGGTGGTGGACGTCACATCCTCTGGGTCCGGGGGCATGCACCCCCAGGAAGATTTTTTTTAAATGTTGAAGTTAAATGCATCAATCTGGTGCACTTTGAGCTAGGGCTGCTCAATTAATCGTATTTTAATCGCAATTACGATTTTGGCTTGCAACGATTATGAAAACAACATAATCGAAATAAAACGATTTTATGTTTTTTTTTTTAATAGGTTTTTCAGTTGAATTATACTTAAAGTTCAGGGTAATCAACTGTTAAAAACATACTTTTCAAATTATTTTCTTCAATAAATTGATGTTTTTCAAAGTAAATGGTTAATCGTTTTTAATAATCGTGATATCAATTATTGACCCAAATAATCGAGATTATGATTTTTGCCATAATCGAGCAGCCCTACTTTGAGCCCAACATGAATTGATGGATACAGCTCTCAACACTCAGATGAAAGGGAGCTGTATACTTTTCAATAATCCAAACATCTTTAGAATATGATCACAACAAATCATTTAAACTTGTTTATTCTTATCTTATGTTACCTAGTTAGCATTCTTTCTTTTTATTTATGCATATTTGACTAATCCCTCCCCTTTTAAACTTTTTACTGTCCTATAGTACACATTGGAATGATTTCTTACTTTATTTTTTACAACTTTATTAAATAGATAAACGTGTGCTCTTTCTCTTGCTCACTCGCTCTCTCTCTCTCGCTCCACATTGCTTTTCTTCCCGACTGCAACGCTGTTGTGTGTGTCTGTGAGAGCATTTCACGTGTCTATGAGAGATTTTTTACCAGTGGCGAGCCTGCCTCTGAGGGCCTAAGATATTCTACAAAATAATATTTAAAAACATTAAAACAAATTATATTTTTCTTTATATATTTTTTTAGTCATATTTGTCATTAGTTTTACCAAAAATAACTTGATTAAATTGTATTTAAAATAACATTTCAAAGAAATAAATCATTTGAATCTGCCTATTCAGTTTCTATTTGAATGTGAAGGGTTAAATGAAAGAAGCTCCTGATTGGACGTCCAGCTATGAATTCACAGAGGGCCAGCTATAGTAACTGAACGAGAGAGTAATGTCAAATGACAGTACAATTGACCAATCATATCTTCCCTCTAAATGGGTGGGCTTTATTATCGCGGACTTTATGACAAGTTCCGCCCGCTGTGAAACGTTTCTTGTTTCCATAGCAACAAC